TCAGACAGAGCAGAGACAACAGGTTAGATTGAGATTATGACCGGAGACAAATCCGGCTAGTCCCCGGTGAGGCGCGTCACACTATCCCTTTCTTTGAACAAATTGAGAACCCCAATACTTCGCTGTTTGGGGAATTAAAGCTTTATTCAAAAGAGCAGTAGAACCATAAGCCCTAAACCCTAAACCCCAAACTCTAAAGGAGACTTTGTAGGGCCCGTAAAAGGTAGGGGTCGAAGATTCGAGGCGCAGGGCTTCGTGTCGAGGGTTCAGGTCTTGGGGCCCTAGGTCTTCGTGACATTGGGGAGGCTTCGGGATCATCGGATATTCAAGGTTTAGGGTTTAGGGGTGATCTGGCTTTAGGGTTTAGGATTTAGGGTTTAGGGGGGATTACAGGGCCCTTGACTCAGTGTCGTGCAAACCAATCCATTCCTGGATGTTCGGGCAAGTAGAAGGCGAGCTGCTGGGGTGGTACTCCGAAAATCCGCGACGCTCCCCGTGTCGAAGGCTTGTCTCAGCAGAGACTTGATGTGGCTTTTGGGGTTTAGGGTAGAAACCGGCCACACCCTAAACCTTCTTTAATCATGCACTACCATCTAGCGCTTGAAGTCGTGCTTCGGACTATGCAAATGCTCGAAGCACTTCCGCGGATGACTTCGGATGTGAGAACAGCGCCACAAGGTACGGAAACGTCCCTTTTCTTCCGAGTTGTCGCACCCTAAACCCTACACCCTCAAGTCTCAACCCTTTCTGCCGAGATGCCCCAAGCCTGACAGCAGCTTTCTGCTGGAAGTCGCACGAAAGATTCCGCTGCGGCACAGTTCACCGGCCCTCTCCTTCAATCGCCACATCCCGCAAGCGCAAGCTCCAGGGCAGCTCAAGCTATCTTAATACTATAAAGAACCCTGGTATACTATCATAGGCTACCTTCAACCTCTCTGTCACCGACGAAAGACGCTGCATGCGATGCAAAATTCCGTTGCTCTAGTATCACTCGAGATCCAAAATTCGAAAAGGCATGCCAGGTGCAAGCCAAGACATCGGAGGGAGATACGAGTTGCATAGGAACCGTCACCAGAAAACTACATCGACGCCACCATCAACATGAAGGTCGTCTTCATCATATGCATCGCCATCATTCTCATCATCATCATCATCGTCATCATCATCATCGTCATCGTCATCACCCTCGTCATCGTCATCACCCCGTACGGATATGGATTCATCATCATCAGGTTCTTCATCCTTACAAATCTACAATGGGATCTTCATGAGGAGATACTGGGATTGCACTCGACATGCTCGTTGGCTGCTGGTTGGCAGCCCTGCCTGATATGACTACTGCAGGGGGCGATGCGCTGCAAATACTGTGGAAGGTGATCGATGGCAGCCCGGAAACCTGACAAGCACAACTACAATCCAAGTCCCTAAACCCTAAACCCCGAAACCCTAAACTTCCAGGTCCCGGAGGGGCATCGACCCACCTCCAAATCCTTCACCCTCAGCCGGAGCAACACAACAACACCAAACCACCAGATCTTCACAGAGTGGTAACTTGCTAAACATAGCGGTGCTTCAGAAAGGAAGGTGGGCACAATGCAGGCCTTGTCTTTGAAAACCTAGACCACCAAATGAAAAAAAAGTGCTGCAAAACCCTAAACCCTATACCCTAAGATAAAGATCCCTAAATCCTAAACCCTAAGATGAAGATCCCTAAACCCTAAACCCTAAGATATAGATCTCAGGTCCAAGGCGAAGGTTTCAGGGCCTTGAGGGGGCTCGGGGGGTTTTGGGGGGGCTTCGGTTCTAGGGGTTGCGGTGAAGGGGTTTAGGGGCTTAGGGGTTTAGGGGTTTAGGCTTAGGGGTTTAGGGGTTTAGGGTTTAATTAGGGTATGACTTTTCACCAGTTCGTTTGGAGCCTCCGAGATTCTGGTAACAAGGACTCGAAGCCCCGTGATGTACTGGCCGACCGCCATGCGACACTCCGCCGCGACCCTGAGTCCCGATCTCTCAATGCCAAGCCGCGACCTTCGGCTTTCGGAACCCAAAAAACCTGTAGCCCTGGACCCGAAACCCTGAAGCCAAAAAAACCTACGCCCGTAACCCCTGAAGACCTCCCTGGGCTTCTCTGTCTCGGAGAAGGGCGTCTGGGGACTCATGGCCCTGGGATGTGAAACTTTTAGGCCGATTTGGAGGAGTTGCGGCTTCGTGTGATCACCAGGCTGCCCGCTTTGCAGGTCCTTCAAAACTTGCTGGATCCGTGCGGCCACCCTTCGCCGAAGAGCACACCACGATACGCTGCGCGCTGGGGATCTCCAGGGACGAGAGCAGCCGAACAGCGCTTCAACCCTACATCCCAATCTCCCTGCTAGACCTAGGCGAGGATCCTGCACTGAAGAGCACATAGTGTTGGACTATGGTGGCGAGAATGGCAAGCACGAAGACGCAAAGTAAAGCTGGGTGGTGCGTGATCACGAAGATTCCAGCGATGCAGCGAAGAAAGCAGCTTCAAGCCTTTTTGAGCTGGGGCTTTAGGGGCTTTACGGTTTAGAGCAGTCGCACAGGTTGCTCTGCTGTTTATTTCAGCTTTCGGGTTTCCATCGTGGGGGTAACACAGCTGTGTAATTCATTTTACTTTGTTTCCGTTTTTTGACAAATTACCCGCAGCTTAGAGATCTTCGAAGCATACCAGGCGCTGTCATGCCCCCGCGAACAAGCTTCAACGATGCTGTACATTTCCTGGTGTGCGTATATTTTGTCCTCTCTCTCAAGTGCAAGCTTGTCTGTGCATGTCTAAAGATCAAGTGACGGATGTAGCTATGCACGCAGCGAATAAAATTTCGCCCCGTCCTACTCCTGCTCCGCTGTGCAAGCTACCAGAAGAGGCTCTGCAGCTATTCTTACAATGGAACTCTTGGCTGACAAGTAGGTAAAAAAGGAACCATGGCATATGCGTCTATGAACATTTGCACTCGAAGTTCTGGTTCTGTAGAAGCTTCGACACCCGGAAGCCAAGAAGCTGCAGTGAAGTGAGAACAGCCGAACAGCTACATCCCAACCTCCCTGCTGGACGGTTGCGGCCGCCCTGCGCCGAAGAGCGTGTAGTGCTGGAACATGGTGGCGACAATTGCGAGCACAAAGAAACAAAGCAAAGCTGGGTGCTGTGTGATGGCAAAGATCTCCAGCGATGCAGCGAAGAAAGCTGTCTCAAGCCTCGTATGGGCGTGAGTTGAATGCTTGCGACTTAGTAACGGAACCAGGTATGCTGATGGCAAGCTTGCTATTTTAGTCTCTTGTGTTGTGCGGGTGTGTATGCCTATTGTCCATGTGCTTGTGCGAGTATCTCGTTTACATGCATTTGAAGTAACTGATGATGAGGAGTTGTCAAGCCTTGTCTGTGTTTCCGTTTACGAAAGTTGCAAAGGACCGAACAGCAAACGCGTGCCAGCAGTTTGCCGCCTCTGTGTGCAGAAGCTGACGAGCTAGGTGGCTAAGTGGCAAGGTGGAAGTGCCCCAAAGCACTCTCATATGCCGAACAAGTGGCTTCAACCATGATGCAAAGTTATACCGTTCTCAACAATTGGCATGGGCCATACTGCTCCAGTGTGTGTCTCAGTCTCTCTCTCTCTCTCTCTCTCTCTCTCTCCCTCTCTCTCTCGCTCCCTCTTTCATATGACGAACCTGATCGGAACACTGAGTCATTCTGCCAGAAGTTCTTCGGCTAAGGTGCATGGAGGAGCTAGGCCCAAACAACAGAACCAGAGCGGGATTGTGGCTCTTGACTTTCAAAAGTTCTAGCACCCTGGAGCCAAGAAGCTGCACAAAGTTGAACAGCAGCATTCCGCAGCCGCAGGCCACTGTTGTCTGCAAAGGGCCACGGTCGAGGCTCTTGTCGAGGCATTTGACACACCGGAGCAGACCAGGAAGCACTGCCTGAGGTACGGACCAGGAGCAAGGAACAGCTATGGACGAAAGAAAAATAATCATCCTATATCATGCTTGTCCTCATCCTTAGCCTCAGCATCATCAGCATCATCAGCATCATCAACACCATCATCATGAGCATCATCATCATCATCCTCATCATATTTATCAAACAACTGGCAGCATGGACTTGTAGTCTGTGGCTTGATAGATGCAACGCACAGAGTACTTCTCACGTGCCCAGATGCAGGGCACACCAGCACGAAGAACAGGAATTCAATCACCATCGCGGCCACATAATCGAATTTAGATCTATAGCCGAGCGCATGAAATGCAGGTAGTCCGCTCCAAGCAAAGGGAGCCCAGGACAAGGCCCAAGGGAGCATTGCCAGCACACAGACCTCATCTCTTCGACGAGCATAACGAAACAAATCAAGCTGGTGTGCTCAACCAAAGGTGCCAGAGTGCAAAACGATTCTGAGGAATAAGTTGCAAGACACAGCATGGGGTATATCAGTCACGTCCCCGAGATCTGCGACAGCTGCATCGCGCATTGGGCCTTGCACATACTTGTTGAACTCTTCCAGGCAATCGTCATGTTTCGCAAGGCCCGTCACAGCGCGCAAAGCAAGACGAGCTGAGACTGTCAACGACGAGCCGATGAGCTCCTCGAGGCCAGGATACTTCGGGTTTTGAGGCAGTGGAAACCCACAGAAGCAGAACGCCCATGCTTCAACTTCCCTGAGAGCCATGGGCCACGATGCTTTATTGAACAAGCAAGTCTGCAGAATGCCCCCGACAGCCAACATCACCCCACGACAATTTCGACACTCTAGACTTTGGAAGAACGAACTCTTGAAAGACTTGCTCCCTTGGACGGATCGTGGTTGATCTCTTGATACGAGTCAGTCGGATCTCTCACCAACGACCTTTTGGGTTTAAGGGTTTAGAGTGTAGGGCTTCTTAAGGGCTTGAGGAAGATTTGTAATGACAATTCTTAGAGCCCATTGACAGGGAGACTCGGGAAGACTACCCTGAACCTTAAACCCTAAGCCCCGAAACCCTGAAGCTTCGGGTTTCCTGCTCCTCCTCTTCCCCTGAGTTCTGCACCTGGGCCCACGTCATGGGGGCGGCATAGGGTTTAGGGAATCACGGGAGCCGGACCCACCTAGAAAAAGCCAGGCCAGCAAACCAAACAACAACGGAGACCTAGACAAGGCCTTCGATTGCCATCACAAACTATGATTTCCTCATACCAAAACATGCAAGCCATGACTTTGACAGACTCGGCCACTTCGATAGGCACCGCAATGATGGGATCCTCGAGGCCGTCGAAGAGCTCCGCCACCTGGGCCTGCAACTGGGGTTTAAACCCTATCGCGCCGAAGTTCTATCCCGTCGAGGGTGTTGTTTGCGTCTCTTTTGCGTTCCCGTACATGGGCCGAATCATGCAGGCAGGATCAGGATCAAGGGCCCTGGAAGTAGAGTTTCAAGGAAAACGCGTGCTAACGTTTCATCTTGCAGTTACTGTTAGCTCAACATTCTCGAAACGTAGGGGTCTTAACAAACTAGAATAGGGCATTGGGCTCCTTTATAGCATAGTTATAAAAAGCAGTCCTAGCAATACTAGTGTTAATGTGTGTCAATTATTTAGGCTTCTATATTCGGAAGACCCAAAAGGGTTGATCAGGTTCTTCGTATGGGCTCGCGAGAGCAGTTTGGCGCCCAGAGCCTCGATGACATTCCTGTCCTGCTCCTCAGCACATTTGGCATGTCGTACATCGAAGGAGTCCATGCTTTCCAGCATATTTTGGTGTCCATCCAGTTTCTTTTGGAAAGCCACAACGCCGATCATGATGGATGGTAGGTAGAAGAGCGCGAAAACCTGACCGTCCACGACATACTCGCGCAATCGGTGTAATAAAATTGCAAAAGGATTGGCACCAACTGCCGACTTCATAAGATTGCCAGGATCACCCAACTCGGTGAAGACAGCGAGGAGCCGAGCTGAAATATATGAGAGCAGCATCGTCGTCAGCATCCACGGAGCGAGCCACAGTGGCAATAGCCGCAAACTCTTTAGATCGTGGCTTTTCACGAAAATCGACACCTCAAAGTTGCACCAGAGCCTTGTTGATTGAAGAACCACAAATGGCTTCAGTTTTTCCAACAAAATAATTCGTACAGACAAGTTTCTTGCTCTAGTCCGTTCAGAATGTGTGACAAAGCTTGACAGAAAGGAGCCGTTCGTAGTATGACTTGTCCCAAAGGACGAGCATTTGAGAAGAGTTCGCCACAAACGTGGGCAAGGCTGCGATCCCTGCAGACTTCGTTGTCTCATCGGTTTGGTCCACGCAGAGCCTGTCCACCCAGAAGCGAGGACCCCAAACTCCGCAAGTGAGGTGCTGGCCAAAGAAGAAAACCAAAATGAATGTTACAACAGGGACATCCAACGAGAACACGAACATCATGTGGATGGACGGTGCAGGAACAGCTAGCATGATGCCTGCGACCACCACGAGCCACGCCGTCATTGCCTTCGCTGCCAAGCCCAAGTTCCTGAATGTTCGGCGAGAAGCAAATACTGAAGCTACCACACAAAAAGGTGGGAACTAGTAGTACATGTCGGTTTATGGGTTTAGGGTGTACGAGTTCACAGCCAGATGAGATATTATTTATCCTCAAATCGATCGCGGTTCAGAAAGTAGCACACGGCCAGGTATTTTTCCCACCGGTCAGCCGACCAGGAATGGCTGATAAATACATCCACATTCTCGACCTCACGCAGAATTTGCCGGCTGATTCTGAACTGCAAACACCAAGAACAAGGATGACCTTTCTGGACCCAATTCCTTACTGGTAGTATATATGGACCCTCTGAATAGTTCAACCCTGCGGCAAGACTGCATCGCTAATCCTTTCGGCTCAACAACTCCAAACTTCGAAGCGTCGACGCCTAAGGCTTAGGGCCTAAGGTAAACCGCCATACCTTTATGGAGCATCTCGGTCGTAAGATCTACCTTAACCTACCAGAAACTTGGCTTCCAGTAAGCTCTCAGTATTTTAGCCGCCGGTAGAAGCAAAACCAAGTAACTGGCCCCTCGTTAACGGATTTGTTCTAAATCCGTGCTTGCTGCTCAATTTTCTAGCGGGCAAAGCAAAGACTACAGTTGTGAGCCGGTAGAATGAAAAGAGACACTTGCGTGCGTCTCGACCTGTGCCTGTGTTTGCGTTCACATGCCCAGGTTACATCTCAGCTAGTGGGACAGAGGGTTTAGGGTGGCTCAGCAAAACCAAATTGCATAGCTGGAAGGGGAAGCAAGTTGTCTGGCCGGATTTGGGATAATCCAGGCAAAATGAGCTTAGGCCGGCCTAACCCCACCCGGATAACATCTCTGGGCAGAAAATCGAGGAGGGTGATCGTCTCAGCTGTTGACAACTCGGATGAGAGAATGTCACTAAAGCCAAAATTAAAATGACATTCTTTGAACATGGTTGCAAACTGTGGAAATTTTGCTTGAAACACTGAGCTGGTCGACAAGACTCTCCTGAATGAGCGGCTTGCAGCCACAGTCTAGAGGTAAAGACACGGGACATGCCACATGATTGGGGTGCTTCCCCGCCCCATTAACAGACACCACAAGATGAACCAATACGAAAAGCACAAGAAAATCTAGCGAGTTCAACGATTTTCTAAATCAGACAAATGAGTTTTGAATACCTGAGTGCAACACATCAATCTCCAACGCTTCCTTACCTGCAAAGTTGAAATCTGCCGAACGCAAGGCCCAGGGGAATACTCGTTTCAAACTGTTTCGCTGAGTAGACTTTGACCGAGACTGTGAACACTCATGGTGAGGCCAGGCCGCAACCCTCAACCGAGACATGTCGTTCGCTTCTTGCACCCTCGTCTTCAAAAGCCTCGCAGGCCTGCCAGTCCCAGACCCTCCCAGGGCCTCCCGGCCTCCCAAGGCCTCCCAGGGCTTCTCAATTCCCAAGGCCTCCCAGGCCTCGGGGCTGCCTTCTTTTGATCAAGTCTAAAAGGGAATCCCGGTTCCTCTGATCAACTTGAAATTAGCAAACAGTTTGTGCTTTTTCTTGTGCTCCAAAATGCAAAACAGTTGTGCTTCTCTTGTGCTTGATTTTGGAGTTTGTGGTTTGGCTTGTGCTCACGATTGCAAAACAGTTGTGCTATTCTTCTGCTTTTTTATGCTCTAGTTTGTGCTTTTTCTTGTGCTTGATTTTGGAGTTTGTGGCTGGGCTTGTGCCCAAGATTGCAAAACAGTCGTGCTATCCTTGTGCTTTTCGTGCTCTAGTTTGTGCTTTTTCTTGCGCTTGATTGTGGAGTTTGTGGCTGGGCTCGTGCTCATTGCAAAACAGTTGTGCTATTATTGTGCTATTTTTGTGCTCTAGTTTGTGCTTTTTATAAACAAATTACAAAAGGCAGCTTCCTCGGATCGCACCAGAATTTCCTAGGTTGTGCTTTTTCTTGTGTTTGATTTTGTGTTGGGGCTTGTGCTCAAGATTGCAAAACAGTTGTGCTATTCTTGTGCTTTTTTGTGCTCTAGCTTGTGTTTTTCTTGCGCTTGATTTTGGAGTTTGTGGTTGGGAGTTCAATGCAAAACAGTTGTGGTATTCTTGTGCTCCCTTTTGCAATCTAGTTCCAGTTGTTGGAACAAACTGGTAGGCCGGCGTAAATTTCAGCCGAAGTAGTTTCCTGCTTCCGGCACGGGCATGGCCTCGCCAGGTAGCACCCTGGCTCCGCACTATAAACTGGTGGCCTGGCCTCACCAGCTAGCACCCTGGCTCCGCACTATAAACTATATGATAACACGACTGCAAAGCTGCAAAACTTGCAAAACTATAAAAGCATAACTCAACGTTGGGTTGGGTTGTGGTGGGTGGGTGGCTGGCTGGTGGTGCAGGCTTTGGCTGCCTTGGGAGTATTGGGTGTTCGAAACTCCAAACCCAAATTGTCAAACTCCAAAAGCTGCTGAACAGTCGGGGCCCCCCAAAACTGGGAACTCCAGAGGCCTCCAAGTAGTTGTGCTTTTCCTTGGGGGGGGGGGGGGGAATAGGGAAAGCAGTATTCGACTGTTAATGGGAGGGGAATACACCCCACACATGATTCTCTTGATAAACGGGTCTGCAGCCAGATCCCGAAGCTAGAACAACAAAGAACCCGATGTCCTTTCTGATTCTTCTCGGCTCTACTCCGTCACTCGATCAAACATAGGTTTCGGCTGCGGCGGAAGAAAACAATGGGACTTTTTGTTCGCTTTTTGGATAGGAGACCCGAGGCCCGAGGCATCATCAGGAGCGTGGCAATGTAGCAAAGAACCCGCTTTCCTTCATGATTCAGTTTGGTTCTACCCCGTGACTCGAGCAAACCCAGATTTCGGCACCAAAAAATATGAAGTTGGTACAAGCAACAGACGAAGAAAAGTTGGAAGCAAGATGTACTTGATGCCCAGAACAGACTGGATGCTTTTGCTTTCTTCGGTGCGTCATGTGCCTCGTAGGCATGTCTGTGAGCGCCCTAATGCTGGCAGTAGTCTACGGCACAGGGCGTGCGTGATCCCATACATGATACAGCAGGCATGCCAGCGCTGAATGCTTAACACCCCGCCTTCGAAGTTAGCGCAAGTCGTTCCTAGACTAAACTGGCTTCGACTCGCTCTTACCTTGAAAACACACTCTTTCCTCGCCCGCAGACTCCAGAGCCCACTGGCAAACTCTCCAAGTTCGCTCCTGTACCAAAAACTGTGTTCCGTGACTAATGAATTATTTGGATCATCATCCTTTAGCCATGCAAAAGAAGTTCTACGCGTGCGAACGGTTACGTCATCCTTGCACGGTGTCCTGCAGTTGCAAAACGGCTGCTGACTCACTTCTTTTCCTTTTGACCAAAGAGGCCTCATTGCTTCTCTTTTGCTTTAGCTTTCTTTTCCTTTGGTGCTTTCTTCTGTTGTTGATACTTTGCTGCTTCCTTTGCTTTGATCTCCTCTGTGATTGCTTTCCTTCTGCTTTGGCTTCCTCACTAGAAGTGTGGGTCCTCACTTCCTGCACTTGGGTCTTCTCCTGCACCTTGGTCTTCTCCTTTTCCTTTTCCTTGGTTTCGGTCTTCGGTCTTCTCCGTTGCCTTCTCCTGGGGCTTGGCTTCCTTTCTTTCCTTTTCCTCCTTTGTTTGCCTTCATATTCCTTTCCTGATCCTCACACGCTTTTCCTCCTTTGGGGTCCTTGAGCTGCTTCAACCACCTTGTCACTGAGACGTCGTAGTAGTACCAAAAGAAACTGTCCTGGTTCCATTTCCACTTTAGCGCTTGTCGCCGTACTGGTAGATCGCGTTAAGGTTCCTGTCTGTGCTTTGCTCCTGAAGGTCTGGGTCACCACGTCCTTTGACAAACGACTCACCACGTCCTTTGACAAACGACGCTTCTTCCTGTGGGCCCTTTGCAAAGACTTCATGGTCGACTCCTGCTGTAGCTCTGCGATCGTCTTGTCTCTCTTGCTTTCCTCCATCAACCTTCCCAGCTTGTCCATCCCTTCCTGCTCCTTTGACTTCTGCTGCCTTCCTCAAAGCTTCCTCTTCTGCTGCTGCTGCTTCTGCTTCCTTCTTCTTCCTTTCCTCTTCTGCCGCTCGGGCTGCTGCGGCTGCTGCTCCCTTCCTCTTCCTTGCCTCTTCTTCCTTCTTCTTCCTTTCCTTCTCCGCGTCTTTCCTGCTGCTTTCCTCTGCTGCCTTTTCCAGCCTCTCTCTTGCAAGCTTCCTTTGCCTTTCCTCTTCTTCCTTCATCGTCTTTTCCTGTTTTCTCTTTGCATCTTTTCCTCTTCGATCTTGCCCGTTCGGTCCCAGTGCTGCCTGTCTTCCTCGTTTCTGGGCACAAATCCTGGTTGCTTTTCCTGCTCCTGCTTCTCCTTCTTTGGCTTTTCCTTTCCTTGTCCTCCTTTCTTTCCGTACTGGTCCTTTCCTTTTCCATTCTCGTGCTCGAAGACATAGTCATCGCACTACCATTCCTTTTCCTTTCTGGCATGGGACTGCCGCCAGATGTGTCCTCCTTCTGTGTAGTACTTGTACTCCTGGCTCATGTCCGTGGGGTAGACAAAGCCCCTCTCCTTTTCGTTGCTTTCCGTTGCCTTCTTTCTGAGCTCCTCGATGACCTTCTTGATCTTGGCCTTGATGTCCTCCTCGCTTTCTGGCTTTTCCTGTTCCTCCTTCTCTTGCTTCCTCTGGTCCTGGGTAGCTTTGGGTGTAGTACTCGCCCTCGTTCTCTTCAATGAACCTGGTGTCTTCCTCCATCTGTTCCTTCACCTCAAAGTACCTCCTGTTGTTGTACTGGCTGATTTCCTCGTCCGGGTCTTCCTTCCCTTCTTTCTTTGTCTCTCCTGGCGACCTTGTAGGTGAGGTAGTCGCCGATGTAGTTCCTTAACCATGTCCTTCTCGGCGGTGTTCGGCTTCCTCCAATCGGTCCTTCTGTTCCAAGCGTTCCTGCTTCAACTTCAAAGTACTCTGCGTACTTCTCTCTTGCGACTTCTTCTTCCTGCCAAAACGTCTCCCATTTCTCCTGCAGCGTTCCTAATCTTTCCGAGAGCTCGATCATGCTGCTTTCACTCGTCTGGCGTGCGGCTTCTACTTCCTGGACGATTTCCTCCACGACTCTATTCAATTTCCTGAGCTCCTCTCTGCTCGTCGCCGTTCGTGTTCTGTTGTCCTTGGTGAAGCTCCAGGAGCTGGCGGTTGCTTTGACTCATCAAGTCCTTTAACTCTTTCGCTGTTTCCGTGGACGAGCTTCCTGACATGGCTTCTTCTTCGTTGGGGCTGCTACACAGGTCCTGCACTAGTTCCTTGAGTTGTGCAAGCATCTGCCGGCACAATCGGGTTCCTTCAACTGCACATGCTGTGTCATCCCTCCTACGGCTCATCGGCGCTCGCCTCGAGCCACAGACCGCACCCAAGGAGCTGTTGCAGCTACTTCGCCCGGAGCAGTGAAAAGAGCTACCTCAGGGAAGCCGAAGGCGGCCCCGGCCACCGCAGGGAGCCGTCCTACGTCCCCGGTCCAGATCATCTTAAGTCTAGGACGCACCAAGAGCATAGAAGCACTCCTCAAGGGAGTCCTACCGGAGGATTTGCAACGCAATGATCGAAAATTTCTTGCAAAGTGGAACCCGCAATCCGGCCCCCACAAGATTGAGACTACAAGGTCCACAGGGGAGCTGTCACCAGTACAGCTGACAGGGGTTGTTGAGTCGGGGGAATATCTCCAATTGGCTGCAGAGGGGAGCGGCCAAATCCGTCGTGCATCGACAGACAAACCATTCTGCAGCTCATGTGCATGCTGCTGGCCTCTCTGATCCGGTCAGAACCATACTTGCTAATCCACACAACCTGTGCTACCTCAACGCCTTGACTCAGGCACTTAAATTCTTTTTGGATCCACGAAGCACAGGCCTCAGAGCGCAACCTAGAGTTTGGGGACCTGCACCCTATGCTGAGATCCCTTCTTGGATCAGGTGCAACTGTGCAACTTCATCGCAGGAAGGTCTGGCTTGCGTTGCTGGAGGATTGGCCGAATTTTCAGCAGCAATATGATGCTGCGGAGCCTCTCTCCTACATAGTGGGGAAACTCAGATTCCCAGCCGCGAATGGGCCCCAACACCACATCCACCAACGCGTCACACACATTCCACACATCATGCTGCCCTGCAAGCCTCACCGTAATCTGCAAGACCTACGACCAAGACACTGGGCAAGTGTACGCCATTTCAAGGTTGCCCACCTGCTTGTGCATCCAGCTGCTCAGATTTCATGGCGGCACAAGTGGTGAGATAAACAAGCTAGCACATGCCCTCCCGCTTGTGCCGAAACTGCAGGTTCCCTTAATTCACGGAGGGCATTGAGACGCGGCGTATCACCTTGGATGCACACCAGACTCAGGCCACTATCGCACGATGGGAATAACGGCCCCATCCGGCCCTGTATGTGCAGAATGATGAAACGCCCACGGTGTTGGCTACTCACACTGACATACACGATGTCAGTAGGACATGGTACATAGCTTTCTTTTCAAAGCCGCAATAGTCGGCTACCGCCTCGGGCAGCGGTGTGCAGTAGTCCGGCGTGCCTTTATGGCCATTAAGTACGAGTATGTAGCGCCCGCCTAAGAGTCCTAACTCGCAAACACTCGTGTCAGCACGCACGCGGTCCCACCATCTTGGAACCCGAATAAGTTTTCCTGACAAGGGCTTTGTTCCTAATTATATCTGCTGTGTTGTATGATTCCGCGATTGCACACAATGCCCACAGGCTCTGAGTTCCGCAGGACGTCCGACCAAGCTCTGCACTGCAGATCGAACATACAAGATGGTCTCTATCATGTTGGGCCAGGAGCCAAGGGAAACGAAACTTCCAAGGCTTCCCGTGCTTTGTCCAGTGTGCGGTCCGAGCATCCGTCTCCAATGCTGCACAGGTGTCCCACACCCCGAGCAATCAACATATGGAGAGTCCGCGCTGCGACACCGTCTAACACTACACAGGTTCTGCGCATCGCTCGCTTACCAGATTTGTTCTTGGCAGCAGTAGCTATAGTGGGACAAGGCACGAATGAAAAGGATGCAAGTCGCCTTGCACGCTGCGTCCTCTCGTTGTGCGCCTGGCTGACACGGACAATGTGAGAACAGCTGTCACGTCCCCGCTATCTCTCCAAAGAGTACCCCATGTGAATGCTTCTACCAATGATCGTCTGCATGCGGAAATGATGGCACAAACTCGCAGAGATTGTAGAATCCAGCTTCAAGGGACCTGACGGAGGCACGGGAGACTCCGCGATAAGGCGACAGGAATCAGAGAAGCTTGAGATCTCTGACTTGAAATGCAGCCACCCAAAACCCACAAAGCCATAAATGAGCAACGCCCCTATCCTTCCAGAAACGACAAGCTGCACAAAGCCCAAAACCCCTAGAACCCTGAGCTGCATAAGTGCAACTAGGTTGAAGAAAGACATAAAACACCGAACCAAGCAAAAGCATCAAGCCTGTTCTGGGCAAGAACTAAGTATTGCCTCCAACTTTTCTTCGTCTATGGTGTGTCCAGTTTCTTATCTTTTTGGTGCCGAAAACTAAGTTTGCTCGAGTGACGGAGTAGAACCGCAATGAATCAGAAATGAAGTCGGGATTTTTGTTATATTGGCACACTCCTGATGATGCCTCGGGCATGATATCCAAGACACCAAACACCAATGTGCATTGTTTCCTTCCGCCGCAACCTACCTTGGCTCCTGTGACAGAGTACAACCAAACTGAATCAGACAGGAAATCATGGTCTTCGTTGTCTTAGCTTTGGGCTATGGCTGCAGACTCGCTTCTCCATAGAATCATGTAGGCATGTGCCGAATTTGTTGCTTCTTAACTGTGGCTGCAAGCCCCTGTATCATGAGAGTCCTGTCGACCGGGGCAATTTTTGAAGCAAGATTTCCATAGTTTGCGAAATGCCAACAGCTGATATGATCACCGCCTTCGATTTTCTGCCCAGACATGTTCTCCGGATGGGGTTAGGCCAGCCCCAAATCATGTTGCCTGGTTTCTGCCAAAACCGGTCAGATGACTTTCTTCCTCTTCCAGCTATGCACTTCGGATTTGTTGAGCCACCTCAAACCCTCCCTCTCCCTCGCTGAGATGTTACCTGGGCGTGTGAACCCACACAAAGGTACTTGTCGAGATGCACGCAATTAATAGTCTCCTTTCATTCTACAGGCTCACAGCTGCAGTCGTGGCCTTGCCCGCTAGAGCTTCGAGCGGCAAGCACGGATGTAGAAACAAATCCTTAACAAGAGACCAGGTAATGTTCTTCTTCATCCCCTGGAGCTATAAAGCAAGAAAAAGGAATTAAGGCTTTGTTCATAAAAGCAGTAAATGCATAAGCCCTAAAGGATGCTTTGTCGGGGTCATCTGATATTCAGGGCGTATAGGGTTTAGGGGTCATCTGGGTTTAGGGTTAAGGGGATTAAAGGGCCTTTGAATCAGTATCGTGCAAGCCAATCCATTCCTGGATGTTCGGCAATCAGAAGGCGAGCTGCTGGGGTGGTACTCCGAAAATCCGCGACGCTCGCCGCGTCGAAGGCTTGTCTCAGCAGAGACTTGATGTGGTTTTTGGGGGTTTGGGGTAGAAGCCAGCCACACCCTAAACATTCACGCGTTGCCGCTTAGTGCTTGAAGTCGTGCTTCGGACTATGCTAATGCCCGCAGCACTTCTGCGGATGACTTCGGATGTGAGAAAAGCGCCACAAGGTACAGAAACGACCTCTTTCTTCCGAGTTGCCACACCCCAAACCCTACACCCGAAACCCTTTCTGCCGAGATGCCCCAAGCCTGACAGCAGCTTTCTGCTGGAAGTCGCACGAAAGATTCCGCTGCGGCACAGTTCACCCGCTCTCTCCTTCAATCGCCACATCCCGCAAGCGCAAGCTCAAGGGCGGCTCCGGGTTCAAGGCTACCTTAAATAGGGTTTACGGTTTAGGGTTAGGGGTTTAGGGGTTTAGGATTTAGGGGTTTAAGGGTTTAATACGATTCAAAAGCTCTTGTATACTATCATGGGCTACCTTGGACCTCTCTGTCACTGACGCAAGGGCTGCTGAGTGTGACTTCGACGCTGCGTGCGATGCAAAATTCCGCATTGCTCAAGATCCGAAATTCGAAGGGACATGCCAGGTTCAAGCCAAGAGATCGGAGGGAGATGCGAGTCTCATAGGAACCGTCACCAGCAAACTACATCGATGTCACCATCAACATGAATGTCGTCTTCGTCTTATGCGTCGCCATCATCATCTCGTACGGCTATGGATTTCTGTCCAGCGCCTTTCGTGCTTTGAAGAGGTCGGATTTCAAGCCTTAGCATCTTGCGGGGGCCGGGGAGTGGGGGGGAATGTGGTCCGCAATATCCGCAACCAGCAGCAGCAGCAGCAGCAGCAGCGGCCGGAGCGTCCTTACGACGATGACGGCGGCGACTCCTATTGCCACCACAGTCGAAGCTTACGCTTTGCGTCTCTGGCCATCTGCCAAGCGCTGCATGTTACCTCACTTAGTGGCCTTAGGGGCTCAGGTCTGCGAAATGTCCAGTCCAGGAAGGGCCCTGGAGTCTGGAGAATTCCGGTCTACATCGAAACAACCCAATACCCCCTTAATCTAGGAATATCCCTTAAATTCTAGGGGCCTTAAATATCATGATTTGAGGTATACTTCTTAATGAATCGAAAGAACGGTTCAACATGAGGGTCTGGGGCTGTGGGGTTTGGGGCTGTGGGGCTTGACGCGAGATGCCCCAAAGCAACTCAGAGACAGAGCAGCCCCGGAGTTCGAAATCGGGATTGATGCATCGAATTTACAGGAAATGGGGGGTGTATGTTCGCGCCGATTTTGACGCACCTAGCAGTAGCATCGTATGACAATAGCTCTGTCTGCTTTGCAGGACAGCGCTTCAAACCTACATCCAAACTTCCCTGCTGGACTTTTGCGGCCACCCAGCGCCGAAGAGCACACAGTGTTGGAAGATGACGGCGACAACTGTGAGCACGAAGAGGAAAAGGAAAGCTGGATGCCGTGTGAATGTAAAGCTCTCCAAAGACGTGGCTGCGAAAGCATTCTCAAGCCTAGCGCATGGTCTTCAGTGCAAGGTTTACAAACAGGGCACCAGGACAAGCTGCTTTGCTGCCTAGCTTATTGATTGCATAAACAAACAAGCAAATAAATAAATATAAATAAATAAATAAATAAAAATAAATATATATATATATATGTGTGTGTGTGAGTGTGGGGTTACATGTGTTTGTGTGTGTCTACATGCGCATAGCCGTTTTTGATCTCTTTGCGTCTGCACGTGCAAAAGCTCTGAAACTTGATGAATGATGCAGCAGTCGAAGCCTGCTAATTAAATCGTGCATACGGCAGCTAAACCGCTGCCATAATCCGAAACAAGTTCAGCCAGGCCACAAAACTTTGGTTATCCCTCTTTATCTCTCTCCATACCCCGCTTATATATATATATATACATATACATATATGCTCGCCCCCCCCCCTCCCAAGATCTACGTCTGCAGTTTTCCAGAGTCTGGATCTCCTGATTTTCGGCTTTCTGCAGGATGTAGGTTTCCAGATTTCCAGATTTGCTCGTCCTACGCTTCCAGAGATTCCAGATTCCAAATTTCCAGATTTGCAGGACCTATGTATGTTTCCAGATTCCAGATTTGCATGACCTATGTTTCCAGAGTCCAGCCAGATTTGCACGACCTATGTTTCCAGATTCCAGATTTCTGGAAATCTGGAATCTGGAAACCTGGAATCCGGAAACATAGGCCGTGCAAATCTGGAATCTGGAAACAAAAGTTTTACAAATCTGGAAACCTGGAATCTGGAATCTCTGGAAGCTTAGGACGTGCAAATCTGTAAGTCTGGAAACATGGGTCGTGCAAATCTGGAAATCTGGAATCTTGGGGCCTGTCAATCTGGAAATCTGGAATCTTGAGTCATGAGGCCTGTCAACTGGAAACCTGGCATGTGGAAGCCTGGGGCGTGTAAAAGCATGAGCATCAGCCGCTGCTGCCGGAGCGAGCATCATGAACATCAATTGGTTTCGGGGCTGATGCCTAAAGCGAAACCGTTTGGTCCGTTGCCTGGGGCGTGTAAAAGCATGAGCATCAGCCGCGGCCAGAGCGAGCATTATGAGCATCAATGGGTTTCGGGGCCGGTTCCTTAAGCAAAACCGCCTGGTCCATTCAGGATGAGCGTGCAGCTGTAAACAATCAAGTGTGACTCCAAGCCTACTGACCTCTTGCAATACACGAAGCCATGGAAAATTTCCTGTTGAGTTGTAGCTTCTTGAGTACCGGATTCCTATGAAGGAAAGCAGGAACCTACTGGTAGAAGAGTAGCCTGTAAAATATCTTATAAAATACCCCTTTTATGTACCTTGCAAAATTTCAAACAGAATACCTGGCTGGTACCATAAGACTATATCCTATATACCCTGTAGATACCTTACGGAATACCCTTTAGCCATTATGACAAGCCCTTATAGAAGTCTTTTCTATATATACACTCTATAGAATACCTTTCATACAATACCTTCTGAAATACCCTATAGATGTCCTGTATGATGCCCCATAGAATACCTTGCTTTTTCCTATATACCATACATAAAACTTATATAGTTTTATCTGGAATATTGTAAACATTGCGTTATAGAAAACCCTCTACATGATACCCCCTATATACCTTACATATACCTTTCAGAACCCCTTTTGGAATACCCGAAAGAGACCCTACAAACAAGGATTTATATAGGGGAATTAGAAGGTGCCCAAGATCTTGTAGCTTATTGAGCCAGGGATTTCTATGAAAGAAATGAGGAATAAACGAGAATAGCGTGTAGAATACCTTACAGAATACCTTTTCTACACATTCAAGAAATTTCTTGCAAAATACGGTAATGTTTATGGAATACCCCCTGTATGCCCTGTATATATAAATATATATAAATATACCTTGTTGAATAACCGGTGCTGTATATATTTATTTATACCCTTGAATAACAGTTGTTTATATATATATACATATTTACCCTTTAGAATACACCACAATACCCTACAGAATACTTTACAGGAAAAGCATTTCCAAAAGGAAAGAGCGGCAGGAGCCCAAGATTTGAGATTCCCCAATTAAACTACAATTTACTGGGTAAGGGATTGACATGAAAGAAAATTGCGGAATCTAGGATCTAGGAACTCCTTGGACAAATCGAAAATTATCTAGTAAGGGATACATATAGGGAATTAGACACCTTTTAACATACCCCCTACACATACCTTATACAATACCTTCTACAATACTCTGTAGTATACAGTACAGTTAGACTACTTTATAGAATATTTTATACAATTCCTCTGATACACCCTAAATTTATCTTCCAAGATACCATCTTAAATACCCTGCAGAATACCTTACAGAAGGATGCCTGTGTACCCTATAGACAATTTTTCATCATGCCCTATGGAGGACCATCTGGAATACCCTATAGTAGAACATCTTACAGAAGACCGCCTATGTAATAATCTTAGCTTTTGGGTACGGGATCCCCATGAGGAAAATCAGGAACCAAGAAGAAAAGCTTTACACCTTATAGAATACCCCCTCTATATACCTTACAGAGTTTCCTCTCCCCTCTAGAATACCATCCTAAACAAAGGCTACAGACTCCGTTTTGTACAATACCTTGTGGAGTACCCTATAGCCTTTTTATGGAATGCCCTATAGCCTACCATCTGGAATACCCTGTAATATGTCTTCTGTATACCTGAAATATACCTGTTGATAGAATACACTATAGCATACCCTATAGACAACGATTTAGAAATAAGGAAAATCAGGAGGAGCCACACCGTTTTTGGCAGGTGTAGCAGTGTAGCAGTGTG